GGCTCCGGAATCCGCGCCCGGGCGCGGGTCCGAGCCGCCAACTTCGGACCAATCAGAGCGCGGCGTCCGGGCGTCCGCATCGCCCCAGCCCGCGCCCCCCGCGGCCCCGCGGCAGCAATGGCTGCGGCGGCTCCGGGCCGAGCCCGAGCCGGGACGAGGAGGGGCTGAGCCGCGGGGGATCCTGGAGTCAGCGGGGAGGTGGGGATTCTGGGAGGAAAACTCCATTTCCTCCTTCCCCGCCGGCCTCTCCCCTGCACCACGGCACCCCAAATTCGATGTGTCGCCTCCCGGGCGCAGAGCGCCGGTGCTGAGCGAGGCGGGGGTCGCCGCGGCCGGGAAAATGCTGGGCATGTACGTGCCGGACAGGTTCTCCCTGAAGTCCTCCCGGGTTCAGGACGGGATGGGGCTCTACACGGCCCGCAGAGTGAGAAAGGTGGGTGACCCGCGGCGGCCTGCGCGCCCCTGCGCCTCCGGGAGTCGCTCCGCCGTAGAGCCGGGGTCGCCGCGGGCTTCACTCCGGTCGCCCCTCGCCCGGGCCAGGCGTCCGGAGGGAAGGCCGGGGACCGCGGGGCGCGGCGGGGGCGGCCTCTGCTCGCCGCGCCTCCCGAGCAGGGAGCGCCACGTAGGTGTCGGCAGGGGCGCGCTCCGCTGCCGCCGGTCCAGGGGCGGAACTGCCGGCGGCCTCCTTGAGGCAAGATGTCTTTCCTCTTCCCTGCAGGAAGTGAGTCCGGCTGGAGCCTCCCTCTTCCTCGGTTACGGGTGTGGGCTGCGTCCTTGCGTTGGTGAAGGCGTCTTCACTCGCACGCACGCAGCTCCCCTGCAGCCGCCGCCGCCTTTCTTCCTTTGGGATGAATTAATGTGGCCAGAAACTCCTCACAGTCCACGTGAGGATGGGGGAGGGGAGGCACCATCCTTGATTACAACACAACACAGACCTTAGAATCTCATAAAGACGCCCAGGAGTTCCTTCCCTCCTTTCAGAATGTGTTCTGTGGCTTCTGGGATGTGCGAGCTAGATAATCTTTGAATCTCTGATCTTTTTTCTCTGCTTTTTTGGATTTTCTCTGACGTAGGATCACTTCTAGAAAGTTAGAGGCTTGTGATCAAGGCAAGCACATTGCACTGTGAATGCTGAAATGGCCTGGAAATGTTGGATGTTGAAGGCAAAGGCCTAGGAAGAGAGGTTACTGGAACGCTCCAAACCTTTGGATTTGAAGTTACAACACCATAGTCGTTCCGCAGGATTTGTGAAATCTGGAACCATGAAGGCCGTGGTGAAGCTCCCAGAGTAATGAGAGCCACCGTTTACTGAGCACATACTTTGTGCCAGGGCCAAACTTGGTGGTTAACCTACGTTAACTTCACCAGCACAACTCCCGTGAGATCACTTTTAATCCTCATTTAAGAGAAGAGAATACAGAAATTTTGCAGTTACATTTCCTGCTGAGTTAGTGAGGCTTCAAACCCATGGCTTTTGAGTCTAAAACTCATGTTCTTTCCAGAACATTTATTATGATATTATAAACCCTTATTACTGCCCCCTTCCCCACCTCCCCCATCCCCCTTTGTTAGCAGATATTTTGAAAAATGGAGGTTTGGGCAAGAGCTGGCTTGTTCAGGTAAGATATGCTAACCAAAGGTTCAGAGGATGCACCCAGAGACCACAGGGTACCTTTCATCAATTTAACCCCTAACCCCATCCTCTGGCCAAAAGAGCAGGTGAAGAGAAGTGGATAGTGCTCCCAAATATCCAGATAGGGCTCAATTGACAACATGACCTACAAGCATCCTCCGGGGCAAAACTGGAAAAAATAAACCACATATTTAGTTTTTCAAACTCGAGTTTGGTAGAATGCTGAAATGTGAAAAACAGGAGTTAATACTTTATCTGAATTAGAAGTGTATTGAATTGATGTTGCCAAATGGCCAAATGTTAAAATAAACATTCTTCCAAAGCCATCAAATAACTTCTGTACAGAGTCGAAATTCTGCTTTTAATTCATTCTCACAAAGTGTGAAAAATTCCCAGATGGACTTTTCTTGAAGGTCTTTGGCCTAAATGTAATTACTTTAAAAATTAAGAACACAGTTCTTACAAATTATTTTGTTTATTGTTATGAATAATATTACATGAAAAAACTTTACAAAGATTAAAATTATCACATAATCCCTTTTATTTGCCTCATTGCTATTAGGTTTTTAGAAGCAGCTGCCAATGTATTTTCTTTTGATTTTTTTTATTCGTTTCAACTCATTTTTTAATATATTTGATTATTTGGAAGTACTTAATTGTTTTGGGGCATAGAATAAATAGCTTCCAAAATCATCATACATTACTGCAACATTTTGCTATTACATCGATAAGTGGACACTTATCTTTTCCTGGCTAGTGCAACTTTAATATACTGGTATAAAACTCATAGAATTTTTTATTCAGATAACATTTAGAGTACTTACTTATATTTCAAAGTGAATACGCACATGTTTGCAATAAATCCAAACTGTTGTTGACATAGTTTAGTTATAATCCCAAGATATTCAACCACAAGATTATGGACAAGTTCATCAATTCCAGAAAAGACCTTAAAATAGGCGTCAGCTCCTTTGCCTTCCAAAGACAGAGGACAAAGATGAAGCTAAACAGCAGATTTCAGCAGAACTGTAGGCTGAAGCTGAATATCAGTGCATCCCTTACCTGTTTGTATACTCACTCAGTCTCTCAATTCTTAAATATTTTCTGAATTACCTTGAACTTGGCCTAACTCTGGCCATAAATCAAGGAGTCCGAGAAGAGTGAGTTATATCAACAGCTGTATTAAGGACTTTACTTAAAAGTTTTCATGCTATTTTAAACAAATTTTGGAATATACTATTTTAGATATGTGTTGGAGTTTACAGATATCTTATCACACTTTTATGACATGCATTCATGTGTAATGCTCTTGTTTTGAAAACAACTACAATTCAAGCCATCTGTTGATTTCAAATTCATCTGTTGATTCCCCTAATCCAGGTTGGGAAGTTTTGCTGGAAACTCTACCCCCATTACATTCTCAAGGTTGATTTGGGATTCCCTTACCAATGAGTCCCCCAATCCTGCTCTAGACCCACCCCTTTTTGTGCAGTGTTTCCTAGTGAGGTCCCTGCAGTAGAATCACCTAATTCCCTGGCTCTACCTTAGTTCTATGAGATTTTTTTCTTTGTAGTTATCCTTTTTTGCAGACCTGTTGCTCTAAATTTCTTTCTTTTCTTTTTTTTTTTTGAGTATAAAATCTAATATTGACAACAAGTAAAGGAGCATCAGCTGGAAAGCCCTTGAGAAAAACAAGAAATGAGTTATTCACACTTACACATATTGCAATTTGCTAATGATAAGAATAATAAAAGTAAAAGTGATACTTTTTGCATGCCATGTGCCAGACCGTGTTCTAAGTGCTTGCTATGTGTTATCTCATGAGCACAGTTTAATGCTTCAATAAAGATGTGGAGTTCTAGGTTGTAAAGTATTATGCAGATAAAAATTAATACTAGTTACTCAAAGCTAATACATTAAGATACCTACAATAAAAAGTTAAGCAAACACCTCACTACATTATGTTTTTTAAATCATGACCATTTTTTCCAGTGGATGGTGGTATTTGACATTATGCTTGAACCTGAAAAGTGGAAAGGTAAAGCATAAGGTTCCTTCAGGCTCTCAGATTCTGTGATTTTTTTACAAAAAAGGTTAAGGTGGGAAATATACTACTTCCAGCCTTCCGTTTAGATTTATTTTAGGATGTAAGTTTTTCTTCTCTTTCAGATATTTATTCATTCATATGTGGCAGGCACTGTGTTAGGCAGTTGAGCCAGGCAGACAAGGTTTTTGTTTGCAAGGAGCTTGTTGTCCTGTGTGGGGAAATAGGCAGTAAAGAAGTGAAAAAAGGAATAGAACCAAGATAATTAAGCATGTGTTAAATTAAATGAAGGAAATAAACAGGATAAGGGATTAGCGAGTAAATAGGCCTACAGGGAAGAACTCTCAGAGGAGATGACTTCTGAGCCCAGACCCAAAGGACCTGAGCCGGGCAGGAGAATAGCTGAGGAAGAGATGTTCAGAGAGCTTGGACTAAGGTGACAGTATTGAGGACAGAGGAAATTGTATGGATTCAAGGGATAGTTTACATTGTGAAACAACAGGACCTTCCAATGGATGGAATGAGGCAGATCACTGAAAGAGAAGTATCTAGGATGGTTTGGTCTTTGGCTTGACCAACTGGGTGGATCGTGGTGTCATTTGCTTACATGTAAACTATACCATATTAGAAACCAGTATGTTTAAATGTAGGTTATGTTGGTGAAAGAAAATCAAAAGCAGCCAACATTTACTAAGGATCTGATAGAAAACAATATTGAAATAAGGAGTTACTTTTTCTGTACTGTGGGACTTACAACTCTGTTGGGAAAATGGAAATATGGTACACAACAAAGATTAAAGAAAATTCTTTTTTATGTATTAAATGCCCAAACTTACATCATATATATGGATTTTTGCCAGGCACTATATTAGATAGTACAATTACAGAATTAGTAATTTTTACTGTGGGCAGAGAGACAGAGAAGTAAACGATTTCCATACAGTCTGATTAGTGTTGTGATAGAAAACGTGAGGTTGTGTGAGCTAAGTATTACAGGAGTCCAGAGAGGGGAGAACTCTTACTTGTCTTCACAGTAAGTCATCAGAAAATGCTGGGGGAATCAAAGAAGCCTTTATGGAAGTGGCAAATTTCATGGGGGTTATTAATAATTGTTTCGATTAATGGGCACTTGTTTCACATGTATTGTTTCATTTTTTTCTTCCATTAACCTTATGAAGTAGGCACTGTTATTATACCCATTTTCAGATGAGGCAATTGAGGCGAAGAGAGTTTGGCCAGTGTGACACAGACTAAATGGTGGACTTGTGATGTTGATTTCGATGAGTATGACCAGATCTTGTGCTCTTAATCAGTTTGGATGCAGTTGAATGGTTGGTAGGTAAAATTGTTGGAAATAAAATTGAAGCAGTCCTTGAAGGGCTAGACTTTGTGACAGACCAAGGAAGTTGTTTAAACATTTCCACTCAAGCACCCTGTACAGAGGATCCTGGCAGCCTGGAACCGTTACATAACAGCCACACACTTTTGAAGTCTGGGTTTTCTTTTTACTATGCACTTGCTCATGTTGTGTCATTTTACTGTACCATGATCTTAAGGGGCTAATTATTATCCCCAATTTACAGGTAACAACTTTGCTCAATTATTACTTCTTGCCAGAATTTTAGCAGTTTTTTTTATGTTGACCTTTAAAAATTTTTATCTCTTTTCCAATCCGTTCTTCATTTATGTGTTTCAGATGTATGTTTTCCTTTATATCTATACTAGACATACTTTAATTTGTGTACCCTTAGTATAT